TTGGAGAAGAGGAGACTGAGGGGTGACCTCATTAATGTTTATAAATATGTTAAGGGCGAATGTCACGAGGATGGAGCCAGGCTCTTCTCAGTCATGTCCAATGTAGGACATGGGGCAATGGGTGTAAGCTGGAACACAGGAGGTTCCACTTAAACTTGAGAAGAAACTTCTTTACAGTGAGGGTGAGAGAGCCCTGGGACAGGCTGCCCAAGGAGGGTGTGGAGTCTCCTTCTCTGGAGACATTCAAAACCCACCTGGACACCTTTCTATGTGATCTCATTTAGGTTCCTGCTCTGGCAGGGGGATTGGACTGGATGATCTTCCGAGGTCCCTTCCAATCCCTAACTTCTGTGATTCTGTGTGATTATGAATACAAGGTTAGATTTTCAGTCAGCCCACTATTTATTAACTTACATTAGTTAAGTACTTGTTAGAGTTCTGATGAAGATCCAGTTGAAACACACCTTTTCCAGAATATGAGGTGACACCTGTATCTATCTTATCGTTTCCAGACTTCTAATGTAATCCATAGCGTGCACTACACAGGACAGAAAGCTGTGCAGATAGTGACAGCGTTGCTATTTGTTTCAGGCAGAATTTAGAGAAATTGCTATGTTTGGTAAATATTTGCTTCCTGCGTGATATAAGCAGTGCTTTGGACCCTGTTTATTTAATATTATAATTATTTATCTAATAGGGCTAAGAATTAAAGCATAGAAAACCAAATGCTTTTGTTGTTTTGAAGCAGATTGCAACCTCTCTTCTCGTTTCTCACTAGCCACACAAACAAACCAGACAATTGAACTGGCTGTGTTTATTTAGACTCTTCTGAGTTCAGTTAGTCATCCAGCATAGACACAACCATGGTATTATTTTCTGTCTTCCTTTCATAAACACAGCGTATTTAATTGCTTTGAGATTAAATTCAGAGAAAACTGTAGTACCAGCACATCAGCAACACCACTAGTGGCAGGAGCAGTTGGCTCGTTTTCAGGTCTTTGCAGATCTCCACTTCTACCCATTTTCAGACTTTGTCTCACATGTATTATGCAATTTCAGGGTTTCTACAGGACGAGATATTTTCAAGGTGTCTTAGGTAAACTAATAACTAGTGCACTATGTCCTTGCTAGAGTCGTGTGCTCATGTTAGGATTATTCTCCTTGTTAGTACTTGAAGGTGATTGCTGGCTGTTCTGGTGGGGTGTGGAAGTTTTATCTAAATCATACTAAGTCTAATGGAAAAACTTTGTCAGATGAGAGTCTCATGGCTTTCTGTAAAGGTGATCAGATTCTGGGTTATTCTAATCTCTGCTAGAAATTAATTTTCCAGCTGAATTCTTTTATTTGAGAGTGCCCCAATTCTTTGAAATCTAGGACCTGGTGTTATAAAGATAACCAATGTGTAATTTAAAATACTACAATAAACACATCATGTAAATTTCACTGCACTGAGCCTCTTGCTATTACTGCTGCTTTCCTCTATTCCTTCCATTTCTGGCCCCAAGTTGATCCAAACTTGAACCAAGGTACTGTAGATAGCGCTAGCATTTTGGATTTTGAGCTCTTGTCTGTGAAATGTTGTAGGTAGCTATGGCTCAGTGAGAATCACTGATCCTTAGGCAGGAAGGCACATCTTGCTGATAAGGAGTTACAGGTGGTATATAGTGTAGAGTCCATGTAAATGCTGAATTCTCTGCAAGGCCTGGTCAGGATCAGGTAAGCAAGACTGACTTACTAGCTTTGGTCTGGTTTTGGCTTGATAAGAGGGAGGAGAGCATGTTAGTGGTTGGAGGAATAGAAGGGCAGAAACATGGTAGGGCACAAGAAGAGCTCAAGACAGGAATTGATTTTTCAGCCAAAAATGTGTATGTCTTAACCCTCATTTCTGGGGTAAAAAGAACATTAGCTTCTGGTCTGCTTTTCAAGTTGAATATACCAATTTCTTGTGCTATGATGATTATGGTTCTGTAGTCTTCCTAACTACCCGTGATGTATAATACTACATTTCTATTTGTTTTAGTTTATGATAGAAGTCAAGAATTCCCATAAATCATCTGTGCCATCTGACTGGGTTATGGTTAGTAGGTATGTAAAATGCTCTTGATGTTTGTTTTATTTTAATATATAAGAAAAAAAAAAGTGCTTTTTTGTTATTACCATTAATTACGTAGATATTCTCATTGCTCCATGAGTTTGTTTGTGTTTGTTTTTTTTAACTGAAAACAAGCCAACTAAAATTGTTATGTTAATTTATTGCTATGATAAGTCTTGCTTAAAAGCAAACAAAACCAAACTGAAAAACTAGAGGTTTTACATGGTAGATGCACTATATTAGTTGCTTAATCTTTCACAGTACGTGCACTGGTGTCTAAACTATCGTCTTGATTCAGCTGTGCCTGTAGTTTGTAGATACAAATCTTTCATCAAATTTTGCTTTTTCTTATTTCATTCAGAAAGGTAAGGGTAGCTGTGCAAATATCTGTGCATCTCAATAAACTTTGTGTATTTAAAGTGTCATTTTATTTATTCATACAGACCAGCTTTGCTTGCTTTGGTACTTAGTGTTATATAAACATGATTTTAGATAGTTTTGGGTACTTTTTCCATTAGGTGAAACAGAGATGGACTGAATTATGTTATTGGCTTTTTTCTTTTTGGTTATTCGTCTTATTATTTAAACAAGTTAAATACCCTGATGTTATAATATGTAAGCACAGACATCTTGCACCAGAAATTGGCATAATCAGGGTGTACTCTGAAGTGATGTTTCATTCATATATGCAAGAATTCAGTATTAAAAGTGCACAGATTAGACAAAATTTAAGATGAAGAACAAATTGCAGCTAATCTAGAATTTGTAAAAAAAAATGATTGGGAATACCAAAGTGAGTCCTTAATGAAAATACATAAATAAATAACAAGTGCCCCAAATGGAAACTAGTATCCATGCAAGACAGTCTGTTTTTTACTAAGCTTATTTCAGGCCTGTCATGAAGTTTTTCTCTTTAAAGTGCAGTTTTTTCTTGGGGTTCATTGTAATACAGTCACAGAAAAGTCATCCGTTTGTGCAGTGTATTGCTGAACAGAATTTTGTGAAATATATGAACTTCAGTGATATATGCTACATTGTAAAAATCATTTTTAAAGCTTTCCGAATGGGCAGTGGTGCAGTAACAAATCACTGTATTCACAGTAAAGATCATTGAAATTATTTAATGGAGTTTGGTACCACAATAAAAGAACACTTTATTTTAACACCTATTTTCAGGGCTCACAGAGCATAAGAAAGCTAGTCCGGTTCTGCATGTGGATGGTGTAACTGATTGCTTAGTAACCTTGATTTCCTATTTGGCTTTTCTCTGTCTTCCAGCACAAAAACTGTCAGCCGTTTCCACTCTCCTTTTGTTATAGAAAATTACAGACATCTGAATCAGCTCCGGGAGCAGCTAGTCCTTGACTGCAATGCTGAATGGCTGAATTTTTTAGAGTGAGTTTACAAAACAGAGTCAGTTTTTATAGTTTTATTGTATTTTATTTTATTTTTGCCGTAAGAACAGAAAAGGAGAGGTGTTTTTCTTAAAAAAAAAACAAAAAACAAAAACCAAAAAACCCCAAACAACCTTGATAGTTCAATTATGTTGTCCACAACAACTTTAAAGATAGTAAATGAAAATATTCTTCTTCAGCTGAAAGCATTTGAAGACAAGACCTTTGCAGACTGAGTCCTGAGACTAGCAGTGATGTCTCTAGATTTTAAAATTCTGATGAAAATACGCTTTTAAATATATAAAATGGCTCTCAAAATTTGAAAACTAATATTGCAGCATTAAGAAGCTGAAAGTACAACTGACTGTAAATGAGTGAAACTGAATCTGGTAGTTTTATTATTGAAGTACAAGGTAAGTGAGATAAAAAAAGAATTTATTACACAAGCTAACCAAATAACCAAATGCACTTCTAGTACTAAATGAAATAGAGTATGGTTTCACTGTTAAGTGTGCCATTGCTAAAAAAAAAAAAATTTAAAAAATAAAAAATTAAATACAGTTGCAGTGTTACGTAGAATTTTTGATTTAGGAATGTTCAGAGTGTTTGGGTGGTCCCCAGCCCTATACTTCATATGCTAAAACCCTGTGACTGACTGTGAGTCTGTTTGCTAGAAAGTAATTGAAGTGTTACTTCTCCCTTACAACTGGCACAAAAGATCTGTTTGTCTCATATCAGAGTTTTGAATGAAGTTATTTGAATGTTTAGCAAAGGATCTTTAAAATGGGAGTTTAAAAAAATATTTCTCAAACTTCTGAATACCTTTGCTTTTTCAGGTGTCTGGCTATCAATTGTTTTTTTTACTTCCATGAATTACAGACCCACTGAAATTGTTCCTCGTGTTATGCAATGATAATTGCCTCACTTTCACTTGTGCTTTTTTCCCTGCTGCAAAAACTCAACAAGTTCCTTCTGAAGTTGTCTCACTAGACATAAGTGATGCCAAGTTTTGCGTCCTAGTAGGAACCCATCAATTCTGTAAACTTGGTAGAAACTAGAAAAACAATTCAATTCACTCTTCTCCGTATGTGTTGCCTTTGCAGTAGAATAAAAATAGTTCTGTTAAATCATTTTTTGTCACTAAATTCACCATGTAAGTTTGAGTAGACCTATTCTAACCTTTCTTCATTTGGATCTGCTGCTTTTCATGTTCACTTCGTTGTTTTCAGTAGTATCGTATGAAAGCAGCGTACAAGAAGGAAAGAACAGCGTGTAGGAAAGTGCTGTTCTTCTCAACCCCTCAATTTATTTATTACATTTTTCTCCCCTTCTGGTTTTATATTCCATGTTGTATCTTTGAGACTAGGAGAGAAAAAAGAAATTCTTGAGGACTAAGAGCATGAACTTTACTGAAAACTGTGTTCTTCTGGTGACATCATTATTGTACTAGGGGAAGCAATACCATAAAGATAAAATTAATTATTTAATTTTCTGTTGTAGATACCATGTTTTATTGAAATGATAGGCAACTCCTGTGTTCAGGCACTTTTAGTTTAATTTTTTTTTTTTACTGTAACTTATGGTTGAAGTGAATTGGCAGTTGGAATTCAGTTGCCACTGTGATAAACAGTGGCATTTTTAT